CTTCATATTACATTTCGAACATTTGTGAACACTCTTGCAGTCTGCTGCTCGATGTTTAGTTCCGGTACAATTAAAGCAAAGTTTCTTTTCTGCCAGTAGTTTCTTTCGTTGATCGACGTCAGTTACAGTCAAGCAAACCTTCGAGTTGTGGGTTTGAGCATCACAATAAACGCATGCTCGTTTACGACGATCACCGTCCTTTGCATAATAAAATCCAGACTTACGTTGTTTCTTGGTATTCCCGCTTTCATCAACTGGATTAATATCTCTCCATTTCTTTAGCTCCACGATAAGGCGTGTAAGGTCCCAATCTTGCCAGCCCTCATTTCCTCTCACCAGATCTACTTTAATTACTTTGAGTTTCTCCAGTACACTCCTTGTCATACCGCTTACTTTGTCCAACTTGCCCAGAGTTTCCAGCGCTTGCGTGTTGTATAACAGGCTTTTGTAAAAATCATTCACTTTGGCAGGATTAGAGTCTGTAATAACAGGTAATCCCATTATGTTTTGAACGTGAGAGTTCACTATCTCGCTTGTTTTCCCATATTCATTTTTAAGTATGTTTTTCACTCTTTGATATCCTTCTGAGGTAAAAGGTAATCCTTCTATTTCTGCTCTAACTTTCGGCTCTAACCATTCTTTCAAAAACGCAAATTTGGTCACGGAAGGCACGTCAGATTTATCGATTTCTGCCTCGAATGTATTCCAAAACGGGAGCCAATTTTCAAAATTTCCATTAAATTTTGTCACGGGTAATTTGGGTAATTTAATAGACGTTGATTTTTCTTGTTCTTTCGCTGATGTCTCGATTGATTTCTGATATTCCAGTTGTTTATTTAACAGTTCAGTTTTGTGCTTCAATTCCCGCTTTCGTTCTTCATCCTTCGCTGCTTGTTCTAGCTCGAACTTTTGTTTTTCGAATTCAAGTTGTTTTTGTCTTTTGATATCTATGGCAACGCGTTCGGTTTCTTCGGCTGCTGCTCTCTCTGTTTCTTTAATCTCACTCAAACGCTCTCGTATTTCACTTACTTTGTTATCTGCTTCGCTAATTCTCGACTCGACTTCCTCAGCCCAGTTTCGTATATTTTCCTCAGAATCGTTGTCGGTAAATTTGATCTCCTCTATTTCCTCCTTTAAGGCATATATTGCTTGAATTCGGTTCGTTATTGAACTAATTTGTCGCATTAAAACCTCGGTTTTAGTGGAATCAATAACTTCGTCAGACTTTTTGATCGCAAAGTTCAATGCTTTTATTTTCCCAGTTAATTCCAGTAGCTTTCAAAATACTTTTTGTTTGATTTATTTTCTGCCATAAAGCATAAAAGAAAAGAAATTCGAAGAAATCGATAATGGAATTTGTTACGTGCGTTTGACCTTTATATTAATTGTCGCCTTGAGCCCTTGACCGAGCTATTTTTAAAACTGCTGTTTATGTGAACTTGCAACCAATCAAAATCCTTCATGATGCTGATCAACCAATCAGATTTCCCGTCCACCAGATGGACGGGAATCCCACAGTTTAGATAGGTTTTGTGTCAGGCCCTATTCTGTGATTAGGGCCTGAACTTCAGGTTACGGTAGTTTTGAAATTTTGCCTCTCCAATTAGCTAAGATTAGAATCCCCCTGTTGGGGATTGCCTCCAAGTATCGCCCAAAATAAATCACAACAAAACACAGTATAATATCTATTACAAAATCACAAGTTTCACAGCCACATGTTTTTAAGTTCTCTCCTGGAAAAAACAACAACCACCGGTATAATCCGGAACTTTCCGAAGTGTTTAAAGTTTGGACTCGCGCGTCCCACGCGTGAACATAAATACTAATTCTAAATTACGACAGTTTCCGACACCCCCTTCAATTACCTCGTCTAAGATTTCACACCCCACCTATTTTATCATTAAACTAATAGCAATCAATTTTACTGGTCAGAATAAGTTGTAGTATATTGTAGTTCACTAAGAAATTTTCATTCCTTTAAAGGTTGATCACTTGGAACCATGGGAAAGAGGAAGTCGAAAAACGTCAGGACAAGTTGGAATGTGTGGTGGGGTAAGTATGACATACATAGAACAGACAATGATCTGAGGGCAGAAAGGGATGGACCTGGTCAGTCTTGCTAGCAAATCCAGGGCACTGAACTCCTCAGTAAAAATACCTCAGTAAAAATACCTGTGATAAAAATCTGATCACATCCATGATCATCACTTATCAACCTATTATAGAGGTTCGGATTTGTCTTTCGCTACCACGTCCTCTCACTGGCTTAGTATTAGGCTTGGGCAGTTTTTCTTAAAATAAAAACCGTTAAACCGTCCAATTCTAAACCGGTAAAACCGAAAAATCATTTTTTCCCCTTCAAATTTTGCTTAAAACTAAGTAAAGAGGATTGTGGGCTTTGTGGTGTCAGCAATAATTTTTTTGACCTCAGAATACGATCATACACAGCAAATCGCAAATTGTGTAAATGTACCTTAACTTGATTTCTATTTTGAACTGAAAGAAGTCAAGAAATGCAATTTGAAAACTTTAATACTGTTATACAGTACACATTTGACTGCATGATTATACAGTAAACAACTGCATAAATCACTGCAAACGATCATTCACCACAACCTCGTTCCCAGGCTCTTCCCTCTTTGCATTCACCAAAGACAAACCAAAACTTTAAGAACACATTATAACTTGTCAAAAAAGTGAGAAAGCCCAGAAATGTTTCGAGTAAAAATTTCAGGTTTTTTTAGTGAAGAAAATCAACATGTCAACCTTGTGTGGTTCCAGTAGTGACCGCTTGTCGGTAACAATATTACCAGCGACACTGAAAAGTAATTCGGATGTGAATCAGAAGCCCCAGAATTCCAGAAACCTTTTTTGATCGCACACCGATGTCGGCCTTTATACAGTAGCAGCCATGAAATTAAGACTTGTTAAGTGCACAATTTTACCGCGATGACATTACATAATTATGTAATGACGGTTTTTCTAAAAGCTAAACCGAAAAAAAAGTTTTAAACCGCCCATGCCTACTTACTTACCACTATTTAGCCACAGGATTTTTTGTTATGCCTTAGAAATTTCGTTCTTGTTACAGGTGCGAGGTGTTGGTGCAGGCGGCATTATCTCCACAGCATTCTGTTTACTATACAAGTTGTTTACATTGCGTTTAACAAGAAAGCAGGTGAATGGATTAATCAATCACACAGACTCACCCTACATCAGAGGCCTTGGTTTCATGTACATTAGGTATGTGCATACAGGTAAAGTGCAAAAACTAAACTTCTATTTTCATTGGAGACAAGAAATAAAATAAAATGGAAAAGCCTGCAATATCCCACAGTGCAGACCTTCAAATAGGAAAGCATATTATAATAGCTGCCCTCCCACTTGACTTTTTATTCAGTCAAAGGCTGCCTAACAATGCAAATTACTTGAGATTAGGCTGGGGCGGTTCTCGAAAAAACCCCGAAACCGTCGGGGGGAAAAACCTGTCTTTTATCTGTAAATAACAGACATAAAATCGTGTAGCACATGTTTTTATTATGTGAAGAATTTGAGTTTTAGATGCTTTTCAGCTAGGGTTAGCTTCAGCTAGGGTTAGCTAAAACATTAGCCTTTTTATCTCGTTTTTTTCCCGTTCTTTGTCTTTTTCCATTTTTTCCGTGCTTGGATTTTGGCAAAACCGAAAAACTGGTTTTAAAAAAATACGGTATTTTCCAACATCCCGAAAAACTGCCCCAGCCTGCTTGAGGTGCAAGGTACTCATTTAAAATTTGTTTTGCTAAAATCTTAAAACAAACTTCAATTTTTGCCACTATTGTGTTTTTTGCTCTCCAGGTTTTCACAACCGCCTGCCGATCTTTGGGACTGGTATGAACCTTTCTTAGAAGATGAAGAGGTAAGGTACTGGGTACAGATGAAGTGTTTAGTAGGCGGAAATTTCGAATGTGAATTGTACTAGGACTGTTCGGTATACCGATATACCGAAAATATCGGTATTAAATCAATATCGGTATATCGATACCGGATATTCAACCATACCGATATACCGAAATTTCGATATACCAGAATTTTTCGGTATACCGTGTTAAATTTACCAACTATATGGCGAAACCATAACCTTTATTTTACTACTGAATGGCAATTCACAGAACTTTCTACTGCAATGATTTAGAATTTCCACTTCAGTGAGATTTTACACTGAGTACATGTTGTTCGAAACATGTTCGAAATTATCGTTTTCCCATTTAGAATTACTCAAAATTTCCTTCAAATTTCCATTAAAGAATTTTCCTTTATAATTATCAAAGGATAACCGGTATACCGATAATATCGGTATAATTTTTTCGGTATACCGATACCAGAAATTTCTCATACCGAACATTCCTAAATTGTACATTTATTAGACCTAAGTCACCTAAGGGGCCATTCACAAAGGATGTCCGGCCAAATGATGGATTTTCAGACCCCCCCC